GAGCCTCACCTGTGCCTCTCCTTGGTCCAGGAGGAAATGAACACGTGGATCCAGGCCATCTCCTCTGCCATCTCCTCTGATAAACACGAGGTGTCTGCCAGCACCCAGAGCACGCCAGCGTCCAGCCGGGCCCAGACCTTACCAGCCAGCGTTGTTACCATCACCAGCGAGTCCAGTCCCGGCAAGCGGGAGAAGGACAAAGAGAAAGACAAAGAGAAGCGGTTCAGCCTTTTTGGCAAAAAGAAGTGAACTCCTTTCCTTCCACCTCCTGCCCTTCTCCCTTTTCCGTGAAATTCCAGCATGCGAGCTCAGAACCAACACGTTACTCTCTGTGCCTACTGTTCCTCCATGTGGTTGATTTTTTTTTTTTTTTTAACTTATAGAGCATTTCTCGGGGTGGGGGGAACACACCTGAACACTTATCTCCAAGTTAACAAAAGTTTGAGGTGCAGAGGGAAGACCAGATTTTTTTTTTTTTTTTTTAAAACGAAATTATATAGAATAGATCTCAATATTTAAACCTGTTCCTCAATTTTGTGAGGCTGTGTTGGAAATAACCCGCCTCTAAGTGTTGGTTTGCAAGGCAGCGGTGCTTAAACAATTATCTCCTTTGCTCACCAGAGACAAAACGAACCGATTTCCTGACACCGTTCTCTTCCATTAATTTCTGGTGGTCACCCTGAGTCTTGCCCACGACGGGTCTAACCTTTATTAAAACAGATGGTGTATTATGATCTCGCTGCAGCCGTAGCCCAGCTCCCAGTTAACTCCACAGAGCAGACCATTTGTACCTGGCATCGCCTACTAACACACGCCACGTGGCTTTTCTGCATCAGCCAGGATGGTTAAGGATGTTGGTATACAGGAAGGAATAGAAAACGGATACTGTTTTAAATGATCTGTAATTTCAACTTTTTTTTTTTTTTTTTGCTGAAATACATTATATTGTATGTTTGAGATAATTCTAGTACAAAGTATAATAAAACTAGATGTATAATAAACCCTTTAAATCATTGATTAAGTGTACAAGTGGAACTCTGAAGCATTTACTGGACAAAGTAACGTTACCCACATGGTTCTTGGTTACTTGCTCGTGCGTT